CAGCACTTTGGTTTACAGCTCACGTTCAGTCCACTGAGCCACACCAGCCAGGGCCCAAATCTATTTTTAAATTAGATTGTTGTGTTATGAGTTCTTTATATATTCTTGTTACAAGTCCCTTATTAGATACATAATTTGCAAATTATTTTCTCCCATTGTGTCTTTTCATTTTCTTTCTTTTTAAAAAATATTTTATTTACTTATTTTTAGAGAGAGGCAAAGAGAGGGAGAGAAACATCAATGTGTGGTTGCTTCTCACACTCCTCCTACTGGGGACCTGGCCTGCAACCTAGGCATGTGGCCTGACTGGGAATTGAACCAGCAACCTTTTGATTCACAGGCTAGCACTCAATCCACTAAGCCACACCAGCCAGGGTATCTTTTCATTTTCTTGGTAGCATCCTTTGAAGCACAAAAATTTTTAATTTTGAAGTCCAATTTTTAAAATTCTTATATCATTTGACTTCACAAACTTTCACACTTTCCCAAAGTAGGAGAATTTTGTAGCTTTTATGTGAAATCAGTTTTTTTACTAGGAAGCTAACTGAACTTTTAGAAATGCATTTACTAACACCAATCTAGATTTACTTATTCCCAGTTGTATTAAATTTACTCTCAATTAGCAGAACAGAGTTCTGAGAAGTAGCTGGATGGCCAGGCTTGTGTCAGCGGAAACATTTTCATTTAAAGAAAAAAATTCTCACGTCTGATCTCCACTTTATATTAGAAACATACTCTGTGGACTGTGGTCGCTGCCGGTAACACTTCTTATTGTTGGGAAAGCTCTTGTGAAATATTTATCAAGCACATAAAATGGTAAAAAGTGAAATATAGTAATTAAGATTTGTGTTCTATCGATTGTGTAGCTAACGTAATTTTTCATTACTAACATAAGATTTAATAAGTATAAGTAGTTAAAGATTCTGACTTGGCACTAGTCATTAACATGTAATTGAACTAGTAAAAAAGATCAGTTAAAGTTGCGTTGATTACCACCTTATCTTTGAAAGGCAATTAGAAACCTCAATCATTGCAACAAGATTTGATTGTGCAGCCTTTATTGGACATTGATCTTTCAGCAAAGTGCAGTTACATTTTCCATTAATTTACAGTAACACAGTTTAACTTTGATACCCTAGACTGTTGACCCAGGTGAGATGTAATGCTAAGTACTTGTTTAGGTTAAGATGCCCGCAAACGTTATTTCACTCTGAATGGCAAGTGCTAAAAAAGAGTAGATACCTGATCCAGTAGCTTTAGGATAAAGTTTCTGTTATCTGCATTAGCTTTTAAAAGAAATGAAACCAAGATCCTTGTCTTTATGCCCCCCCTCCCGAGTCATTCAAACATCATTCATCAAGAGTTATTTCATGAAGAATTATAAATGTTCTGTGACTATAGTTTTGAGATAATATAAATAAAAATAACAAAATAAAATGTCTATATAAAAAGAGAAATATATGGTGCTTTTTTTTTTAGAGAAACATCGATTTGTTCTGTTCATTTATGCATTCATTTATTGTTTCTTGTATGTGCTCTGATTGGGAATGGAACTTTGGAGTATCAGGCCACAATGCTCTAACCAACTGAGCTACCCAGGCAGGGCTAATACATATGGCTTTTAAGAATCAAAACTGTTTCAATTTTTACTGAAGTCAATAATAAAATTAGTGACTAAATATGTGTGATGAAAGAAACTGTAACTGTATATTTTAAGACATTAGAACTGAGAAACTAGGGATTTTTATATTATTTTTAAAAGATTTTATTCATTTATTTTTAGAGAGGGGAAGGGAGGAAGAAAGAGGGAAACATCAATGTATGTTGGCCTCTCATGCGCCCCCTACTGGAGACCTGGCTCACAACCCAGGCATGTGCCCTGACTGGGAATTGAACCTTGGGTCTCGGGCTGGCACTGAGCCACAGCAGCCAGGGAGGGATTTTTATATTACTGTAGCAACTTTTTTCATGCTCCCAACTCTGTAACTTCATCTTTATGGTGGTTCATCACTTACACAGAAACTAAGAACTTTGACTAGAAATTTCTTCCAATACCAAATAATTGATTTTATAGAAATAACAATAGGGTATAAGATTTTATACTAAAAACATATTAAAAAATAATTTTGCCTGTATTATATTAAAGGCAAAATCCCATTAAAGAAATGTAGGCAAAAAAAAAAAGAAGCTTGTCTTTGGTTAGTTCATCGACTAAGAAAACTGCTATCTGGGAGGCTGGGGTCCGCACGGAACCCTTTTTGTCATCACAGGCTCCCAGTACGTTCACACACACGTGCGCACAAGGTGCCGTCAGTGTATGCTCCTTCCTCCTCTCACATGGTCTTAAACATCTGTTAATGAAATCTTCTAAGTATAAACATGAATACGTATGGAAAAGAAGAATGAGGATTACAAAAACAGCTTTTACTGAAATAAAGGTAAAACTACATGTGCTTACACGCATATTCACAATACATGTTAAGATAGAAAGGTTTCCTGTTTTGTCCTCAGATCACAGGTGGAAAAACAGAAAACACAAAGGAATAGTAGTTATTGGTCTGATGTTAAAAGGTGGCACTTGATACTAAAAATAGAACCAATCTCCTGACTTCCAGAATTTATACTTTCTCCTTTTTAGGCCACAATGCTTCTATGTAATATACAAATTTAAAGAAAAAAACCCTTAAAACATTATTACTGTTCAATGGGGAGCTTCCCCCCCCAAAAGGTTTACCACAAGACTTAATAAATCCAATGAATGATATTTTAATAGCTGAACCATGCTCTTAGCCATCACTGAGTTCATCCTTCACCATGATCAACTCCACAAGGGCAAGAGGTCTATTGATTTTCATGTAATACAAGAAAATATTACATTTGCTTAATTGTTGCACAGTGAGCACATCAGACGAGAAATCAAGGCTCTATTTAATGCTGCAAGCAGCAGAGAATTACAGAGATCAATAGAGTAGTTTGTCAAGGATGTTCTCCAAGGAGACTTACCTATCACTGTATGGACAAGAAGTCACACTGACTACAGCTATTGAAAAACAGGTAAGCAGAGTCAGCAGCACAAATTATCAGAAATCAAACAGGCCAATGTGAAAAGAAGTGCAACTATACTGAAAAGCTGTATTTATTGTTTGGTAATTAAAAACCATTTTATCAGCCTTGTGTTGGGACCAAACCTTTACAACAAGTATTGACAAGACCAGCAGCAATGAAGGAGCCATATTTGACTTAAAACTTATGAGCTATAGTTATTTAACTCTGCCCATTACAGAGGAAATCAGTTCTAGCCTTCCTTGCAAAATGCTAATAGTCAGTTTTATTATTAATGAAGCTTAATGTAACACTATCTCCTTTGTGTAAGCCATTCATTTAACTAGTGTCAAGTATATTCTTCTGAACTAAATATATTGGCCTAAGTACTTCCTTGATTAAAGTGTTACTTAGAATTGCTTTCAGACAAGTGAACAGTACATATATTTGAAGAACAGTTCACTCTCTGTAGCTCATTTAAAATGACTACCTTTAACAAAGCCAGTTTCTATTACTTCATTATTCTGGTACTTTCACCTCAATCACTTCCACACACTTTCTCTGCTGATTTGCCAGAAGCAGCACCCAAATGTCAGTTAGATTGAGTTTTATAAAATATTTTGCTACAAAAAAATGTGTGAAAGTTGGAATGTCGCAACACATTAACATAAAATGATATATAATGTAAGTTTGTAATTATGGGAGAGCTCATAAATCTTAAACACCCATTGGTTTAGAAATTAAAGTTCTACTTAGTTATCCCTAAATTACTCCAAATTTCTGAAATCTACCATTCATCTGGGTATTTTGTAAGTACCCCCAAGGATAAAATTTTTTAATGACTTTGCTTTCAAAAATGCAATTAACTTAATAAAATTCTAATGCAAAACTGCCATCAGGTCTTTAAAATTTCAGCCCACTTCCCATCACCAATAAGTCTATGGATATGTACCATTTCAGCTAATTGCTTTTATAAACAGTCATCGAATTTATTTTTCTGGGTCTTTTTAGATCTTAATTTTATCACCATGCTATTTTAACTATTAATAAGTCTTAATTTCATTCATCTTGCTGCATTTACATTAACCAGTGTATTATTATAGTTGGTATTGGAGTCTTCAGGCAATAAGAAAATAAACTAACAAACAAAATAGAAATGAACCCATAGATACAGAGAACAGACTGACAGCTGTCGGAGGGAAGCAGGGTTAGGGAGCTGGGTGAAAAAGGTGAAGGGATTAAGCAAAGGAAAAAAAACCCTCATGGATAGACAACAGGATTGTGATTAGCAACTGGAGAGGGGGTTGGGGGTGGTAGAAGAGGATGGGGGGTAAAATGCTGGTGGAAGGAGACTTCGCTGGGGGTGGTGAACACACAGTACTACATACAGGTGATATGGTACAGAATTGGACACCTGCAACCTATATAATGTTATTTACCAATGTCACCCCAATAAACCCAATACAATTTTTTAAAAATAGTTTCAACATTATACCCAGACCTCTTATCCAGGTAAATGGTGCAAGGGCTTTAACAAATTTCCACTTAAAATCCTGGCAGCTGAATGGTTTAGTTTTCAGATAGCAATTAGAATTCTCATCAATTTTGGGTTTACCAATGGTATATTATCTCTACAATATATCCTAAAACCCCCTACTTCTTTTTCCAATATTATATAAAAGATTTTCCTTTTCATTCTTTGGGTGGGTGTATTTTCTCTTCAAAGAAAATTTGTTAATACCTAACTATAGAATCTATATGTTACAAGCATTTTTATCTGTAGTTTAATCTAGTTGTATGGAAATAAAATAGTGTAAGTATCATGTGTTTCTAGTTCCCGCTGGCTAAACAGAGTGTGTGTGTATATGTGTGCATAAAATATATAACAATGTATGACAAGCTTTGCCTCTTGAGGGCCATGATTCATTTTAAAGAACCAGACAATGCAGAAAGAACAAGATATTTGCAAAAGTTTTATTTCAAAGGATCAAAAATAAATATTGCACATACACATGAGAAAATCCACTAATATTTATGTTTTCCAATGTACACTTTCAATACATGGCACCTTCATCTTCTTTATTTAGAAAGTAAACTGTTACTGGTCCATAACTGGTGTGCACAGTCTCTGTGACTCTAGCAAATAACCAGGAGCCAAGTCCATATAATAAAGTTGGAATACCTAAAAAACAAACCAATATGTTATTTCAAAACACCAATGCTCATTAGTCATGCACCCATATATTTGTCATGATACAAATCACACTTCAGCAATGTCAACAGATTATAAAATAAAGTTATAAAAACATTCATAAATATTGACTCTGAGAGCTTGATTTCATCTATTTGTACAACATGGTAACAACTACGTGAGCCTAGAGATTTTTCAAACTATAGATAGGGCTGGTAGAAATTTTAATTCAGAGCACTTTACAAGCACTAAGTAATTACCTCCAAGTAATTATGAAGTAATTCTATATTCTCTTCACAAATAAGCAAACAGGGAATACTGGTTAATTTAGTGGCAGGTACTCCTGGTTGAGCTCCAGTCACTAGGTCGACTTTACTGTGCTTTAAGTAAGACAGTGCCATTGATGGCTGAAGTAATGTGCCTTGTACAACTTAAAAAGAAACTGGGTCAAACAGCTGTCTTCAAAACTGAGGCAAAACTTGACTCTAAGGATGATTTTAGTATGATAACAAGCATGAGAAATTATCCCACTAGTATGTTTACATTTGATTTAAAAACAATCTTGTTAACCTATTTGAAATGGGTACATAATAGACTCCACCAACATGTTTCTTCCTTGGAATATTCCTGTGTCATAAGATTTTGCTGACATATTTAAGATTAGCTGCCATTTGGGACATGAAACTAAACATACACCACACTGAGATTTGGACATGCACATGATCACTCATATGCATATGAGACTGTGTTGGACACAAACTTTCATGATTCCTACCTTTTTTAAGGCATTTATTTAAAATCAATGACCAGTACCATAATAAAACATGTATAAAACAACAGGCACACAAATCAATAACAAATATTGTATGCTCTACACAAATATTAATTTTATTGCTCTCATGTAGGGATTGGACAGAAAATGGCAATTTAAAGAAAGAGCCGTACATTTGGAAAATCTTTTTCTTTCTAGTTAATGGGGAAATCAACACATGCTCAGGACTAATATTGGTAACTTTTTTCTTATTTTCTGCAAGAGTATATTTGTGGTGTTATGCTCTTCTTGAGTGTATAAGTGCATTGAGCTATTTTGTGCTTATTTCCTGAAGCTGCATTCCAGCCACTGTAATGCCAAAGATTAATCAGGAGAAGCATCACTAGCTGGCAAGGAGAAGAGGCAAAAATGCCCATTCAAGCTGGCACCTCTCTATTTTTAGGAATATACTGGGTCACAGCTTGTCACTATCACAGGGTTCCCTGGAACACCTTAGAAACCTTTTACTGTATATTACCTTCTTTACCCGAAAGCATCCCTAAATACCCCAAGGAAATGTCACAAAATATCCACAGAAGCTAGCAACATAAAGCTAGTTATAAATCATTTAGCCAGAAAGAAAAAAAAACACCCCAAAAACAAAAAAGGCAAATGGGACATGGGGTGGGGCAGTGGACAAGACAAAAAAAACAAAACAAACAGGTAGAAGTGGGCAAAGAGCAGAGGGAGCAGTTGAAACAAAAACTAAATTTAAAATATGATATCACAGCTTCAAAAGCTGAAAATCAAACAAGTGAGGAAAACAGGCTGTAAAAACAATGATTGATTTTCTAATATACTGAGAGTAAAATATGCCTTTTAAACCAATTCTAAGGACATAAGGAACAGCTGGTGACACTGACTATTTTGTTTGTTTTATAGTATTTACTACAGTTTTCAGTTAAATATTGACACTTAAAAAATCACACAAATAGTTAATATTTTTTTAGCTAAAATGGAGGACTGATCAAAGATTAGTAGCTAATAACTACATTATCTCTTATTAAGAAACTAAGAACCATCACCAATAATGCTGTTTGATAGGGGATTGAGTTGTGATAAAGGAGTCAGAAATTATATACACACACATACACACACACACACACACACATATGTATTTTTTCCTGCAGTCTATTTGATACAGTCGGGCTAAAACACTGCATGGGAGGAGTTGCCACTTGTACTACATAATTTTCACATTAGAAAAACATAGTTTTCTTTATATCACATATGCTTTAAACTCTTTAAGATTCCATGAAAAATTAATTTTTTTGGCCTTTTGAAACATATAACATCAAAATGAACCCAAAAGTCAGTCCTTTGCATAATAAATCATTTTGAGTCAGCTGAACAGTAGGTAAACAAACCACTGTCAAATTAAGCACTTAAAAAAAATTAGAACTTCAAGCAAGTCTCTGATTACCCATTCATTCCAATGGTAAGTTGCTTTTCTTAAATCTCAATCTACTTCCCAGCAGGATACCCAGACTGATAAACCATCAGTAAAATGTCAGCTTCCACAGAAGAAAAGGCAGAGGAGAAAAAGAACAAATGGGTAAGAGAGTAATCTTTATTATTTACAAAATGTAAAACTGAATTACTCTGATAATTTCTAATTTGGAAGGGAAGACAACGGATAAAAGCCTGAATATTTTATTAATAGACTCTGTATTTGATGATCCAGAGGGGCAACTGCACATCACAGAGCAGGAAAGAATCCTATTATCTAATGCGCATTCCGTACCTTCTAATAAAACTATAAAATAAACAGTACAAAACTGGGGAGTACATTACTCTTTAAAAAGTCAATTCCTTTTATCAACGCTAATCCAATTAAAGCATACATGAGCAGAAAGTTTTTCTTTTTGTTTAACTTAAAACTTATTCCCATCTAAGCAGGATTTTAGAATTTCTAAAAGATCTCAAAGACCATTCAATAACTCTTCAACCTTCTACTCCCCATAAAAAATTACAACTGTTTCTTTCTTCAAAAGGTTTTACCTTTCTATGTTGGAATGTTCTGAGTATCCTACTTTTCTTTGAATTTCTGTCTGTCTAAACAAGAAGCCCCTAATCATTTAGGTGTTCCTAAAGTATGAAGTTTTAAATGGTGAAAAGTTAAAACAAAAAAAAGCATTTGGCTCATGTTATCCTTTTCCTCCCATTCTACTTTCCTAACCTATTATTTATTCTTTATATTTGGGAGGAATGATTTTTTTTCTGATTCTGCAAAGCTAGCGTAAACTTTTATAAAAAACTTACTCTTCTTGAATCTAGTCATCATGCCAGTCTTTCCAAATAATTATAAGTTGAATTTTCTAAGTCACCTCACCGTCTCACCTGTTATCATCCTCAAAATTAGGTGGGCATGCTCTCTCTATATAGTCCGTTAGTCAAAAGACATGTTTTAAAGGATTACACGTTGCTAAATAATCTGCTCTTTATTGGACTGAACCCAGGACAATCCCAGTGGGTAATGATTCAAAAACGCCATAACTGACATATGTGAGTTATTACAAGCAAAAATATACATACCACATTTAAATTTAATGAGCAATCAGACTATATTATGTGAATGCAGTTGCTTTAGCTTTAATTCTAATTTTAAAAACCTGGTTGGGTAACATAGTTCAGCTCCCACGTCTAGATTTTGAATTACTGAAATCTGGATTAATTTGGTATCAGCTATTAATGGTTCAAAACATCTTGAGGCCTATTTTTCACTGACCTATAAAAGATACCCCACGTCAATGTTCAAGCCTCTTCTGTCATTAGCCAAAAGGAAATAAGCATCCAGCAAGAGTAAATACTATGAGAATTAGAATATTCCCATGAAAACCTACAAACACTAAAGAGGCAGTCTTTTCACTATCTTTTAGGCCTATGACCTGAGGAAACCAACATGACACTGGTGAAAACCTTTAGTACTATTAGTAAAAGGAACCTGATGGGACTCCATATAAAGAAAACAAAGAAATTTAAAAGCAGTTCCAGTTTTTAAAATATGACCGCAGGCGCAAAGTATGTTCCTGGGACAAATCCTGTCGTGCAGACATTTTTTTAATTTGAAAGCCACTTTCCAGTGGCTTACACTTTCCTCCTTGCTGCCCAATGTAGGGGTCCTCCCAGTTAACAACAGCAGGAAAGGTGATGGAATGCCCCCTCCCCACGGTGATCGCTCAGTACAGGCCTGTTGATAACGCCCACTTTCCTGGGACAACTTAGCCCTGATAAGCACCAACTGGCTGGGGACTACAAAAGACCAGAGTCAAGGGCAGTGCTAGAAGGGTGCTGTCTGGTGGGTCGCGGAGGCAGAGAGGTAGTGTCTGGAAAACCCAACAGCACTGGGCGAGCGCGTGCGCCGGGGAGAGCCTGCACCCAGCCGAAGCAGGGCTCCTCCGGAGCCAACATAGTCTGACCTTGGGCCGGGGTCTTGACCTCTGACGAGGTTCGTCGGCGTGCTTTTCAAACAGTGGGGCCGTCGGCGGCGGGACTGCCTCACCCGCCCGGGCCACTCACCGAGGTTGACGACCTTGAGCGCCGTGAAGAACCGATCCTGCTGGGCCAGGTCCTGCCAGGGGGCCTTGGAGCAGTGATACTTGATAAAGGGGAAGCAGCCCGTGCGCAGAATGTGGTAGTTGGCGCCCTGCACCGGCCAGTTGAAGTGCGAGAGGCCGAACTGGTCGTTGCGGACGGCGCTGTAGGGCACGCAGAAGGAGGTCCAGTGCGGCAGGCGTCGCTGCAGCAGGTGCTGCGTCAGCACCTCCGAGGCGCGGGGCTTCGGGCGGGAGGCGGCGCCCGAGGCCCAAGGCCGGCTCAGCAGCAGCCGCAGCGCGGCCTCGTGGGCTTTCCGCGCGGCCTCCATGGCCAGCCTCGCCCGCGTCCCCGCCCCCTAGACGCCGTGGGGCGCGCTCTGCCGGGGGCGGGGCCGTCCGAGCGCGCGCCCGCGCCCACCCGGGCCGAGCGGCAGGGACGCTCCACGAGCCCCGCGCGAGTGCGCGACAGATCCCGGGGAGCGGCAGCGCGTGCGCACGAAGGTCCCGCGGCCTCCCGCGGAGGGAGCGGAGCGGGCCGGCGTGGGCCCCATGATTGGCCCAGAGGGGTGAGAGGCAGCAGCGCAGAGAAGGTGGCGAAATGGCCACATTGACCTCGTGTAGTCCTTAATAAGCCCGGGGCTGGGGGAGGGCGGGGGGGGCGGTGGTGGGTGGCGTTTATCAGTCTGGGGATGAGGAAAGTTAAAGCTTAAATAACTTGACCGCGTTAGAGAGCGACAGAACTCACACCCGTCTCCTAGGCTCTGGCTCAAGTGACATCCTTAAGTGGGCGTTGTCGAGGAAACCTGGCAGAAGGCGTCCTCAGGCTGGTGGGTTGAAAGCAGAGCCCCCGGGTTTGCACTGGCTCCAGAGTCAAGGAGAATTATTTAGGTCTTCGTGGTCGTGTTCACTGTTTTAAGTCCCAGATATTTCAAAATGAAAAAGTTTATTTTTAAAAAAACGTCCCAGGTCTTTCCGCGTGCCACCGGTGATCTCTCTCCTTAGAGCCTGGTGGATGCCAGACCAAGGGAGTGTTTTAGTTACAAACCTTTATAATCTTCAGTCACCCATTATCAGTGTATTTAGGAAAACAAACTGTGCTGCCTCTTGAGATAACTTACACACCTGCTTTCTAAGGAAGCCTTTTCTCTTCTTTTCCTAAACTTACCTTATTTGTAGAAACCTTATGTAAATAAGATGGTGTGTCTGGAAAGCACTGTATGTAAATGAAAATAATTTTGTGTTAACATCACACCAATGTTGAAACTCAAGAGGAATGTAGGATTGTTTGGCTAGTTCGTACGTTCTCCAGTGTTTATTGATTCATGCAACAGTGATCGAGCACACACTACCATGTGCTAAATCTTGGAGGAACTTGTAGTTATGCAAACAGTTTGAACTTTACCTTATTCCCCATTAGATAGCAGTTTTTAAAAGATTCTAGGTGGAGGCATGATGTGGTTAGATTGACACAGAAATGGCTGGAGGGAGGCTGAGACAGGAGTCAGGGAGGTGATTCGGTACTGTGATTTTCAAATTAAATTTTTAAAAAAGTGTTGGAGTCCTTTTTCAAACAAACTGTCACAGAACCTCATCATAGTAGATGGAAACTTGTGTTTTATTACTAAACATTTGTAAGTTCAAATTATTAACATTAACTTTATAGGTAAATAAAAAACAAAACAATAAGGCTGGTTTGTTGCTGTCTTGGGGTGTTTTTCTTTTTGTTTTGTTTTTAGCAAAACAAAGGAATTTATTGGAAGGAAGTTGGGTAGCTAAAATAACAAATAGCAAGTCTGCAGACCTAGCTCAGATAATGTATTTTTTGGCCCCACTGCTACTGGACTCTTGACCCTTTTGTTCTGCACTCAAAATATTTTAAAGTGGGGGGTTTATGGAAAACAGTTGCAGTTATAACAGCCTAGGGACAGTTTATTTCTTATTCCTCTGTTTTGGTTATGTACTATCAAGAAAACCCTGATCCTTCCAGAGAAGTAGATACAAATAAGAGTGGTTTTTAAATGATTCACCCTGAAATCTTGGGCAAGTACTTTAATTACAAAGGTGGCAGGTGGAGATTAATTCTGAGATCTACACTAAAATGATAACCTCAAATTAATGTGTGGGCAGTTTTGAAGTGTGTTAAATTTTGGCATTAAATCATTTTGGCAATATAAAAATCTATTTTAAAAATGAAAACAAATCAAATATTTGTGAAGCCTCAAGTATGTCTCAGAAACCCTAGATTCAGTGGGACATAAGGTAAAAATCACTGATGAAGACAAACAGAGATTTAAGGTTACACTGTATTATTTCATGGAGTCTTGGGGAAAGGATTGGGAACTGAAGGATTCTTGCTGGAAGATGCTCTCTTGGGAAAACCTCATTAGTGATGATAATTTCCCTAATCCAAGGCTCTTTGACTACCTCCCTCCTTTTTCTAAGGTAGGAAATTCCTACAGATAGCTGGAGGTCCACCTCCAGGTAGTCGATAATCACCCAAGAAATAGAAATTAAAACCACAGTGCAATATCATTGCACACCCACAAGAGTGGCTAAAGTAGAAAAGATGGAAAGTAGTAAGTGGTAGTGCAGAAATGCAGCTATTAGAACTTTTATACATTGCTGACAACTGCTTTGGAAAAATTGGGGGATGTATGTGTGGTCTGTCCAGAAAGTATCCCCCCATGTAGTATGAAAAATGAATGTGATAACCACACAGTACACATGCTCACTCAATGCATCTACCTCCTGCACTGATTAGTACAGTGAAGTTGTCATTGTTCACACATGCCCATTCCAGTCCACTCTCCTTGGCTGCCAGGTTACACTGATGTTGTGCAAACTGTTCCTGTTATATTAACAATGGCTGGACTTTTCCAGACAAACCTTGTATATTACAGCTGGATATACAAACATACCTTGTTTTGTTTTGCTTTTAGCTTTATCGTGCTTTACAGATGTGATTTTACAAATTGAAGCAAGACTCTCCACCAGCAAAATGATTACGAACCCTGAAGTATCTCTGAGCTATACCTGTATGAATTCCTTCTGACCCAGCAATCCACTCCCAGGTATATAGTTGCATTAGTGTGCTCAGGCTGCCATAGCAAAATACCACAGGCTGGGTGGCTAAACAACAGAAATTTATTTCTCACAGTTCTGGAGACTGGAAAATCCAATACCTGAGTGCCAGCCGATTGGGTTCTTGGTGAGAGTTCTCTTTTTGGCTTGCAGGTCAGTCTTGCTCTCTCCTTCCACAGCAGAGAGATAGTTCTGGTGTGTCTCTAACTCTTCTGATAAAGGCACCAGCCCTATTGGATTAGGGTCCCACACTTATGACCTTATTTAACCTTTTTCATTTCCTCAGGGATTCTATCTCCAAATACAATCACATTCGGTATTAAGGATTCAACATATGAATTCAGAAGGGACACAAACAGTCCATAACAATAACCAATAGAAATTATGTGCAAATGTTCTTCGAAAGACATACTGGAATATTCATAACAATACTTATATTTGTAACATTTGACCTAGAACATATTCACATGCCCGTCAGCAGTAGAGCAGATAGACACATTGTGGCATATTCACATGACAGAATGGGGCACAGCAGTGAGAAGGTATGATCTGATCTAGAAGCACACACAATGTGTGTGAGTCTCACACACATAAGAGTGAAAGAAGCCAAACATTAAAGTAATTACTATGTAATTTCATTTATATAAAGTATAAAAATTAGTCATACCTCATCTATGCTGGCAGAAGGCAGGAGAGTGGTCATTCTTAGCAAGGTGAGGAGGGGGGAGGCTAGTGTTCAGAAGGAGTATGAGGAGACTTCTGGGACACTGAAATTATTCTCTCTTTCTTATTCTTTTTTTCTATAGCTTTTAAAAAATAGATTTTATTTTTGCACATGGTTTTAGGCTCTCAGCCAAATAATAGGAAGGTACAGAGATTTCTCATATGTTTGTGCCTCATGCATGTATGGCCCTTCCGTTATCAACATCTGCATCAGAGTGGCGTGTTTGTTATGAATAATCTACAAATTATTCTCTGTCTTGGTCTGCATTCTAGTTAAATGGGTTTATTCAGTTTGTGGATTCTTTTAACTGAATATGTATGTGCACTTTTCTGTATGTATGGTATACTTCAATAAAAAATTTGAAAATAATGAATTCTACAGGTATTGTCACAAATAAATAAAACCTTTAATAAAGATATTATTTATTTTCAGATGGAGGGAAAGGGAGGGAGAAAGAGAGGGAGAGGGAGCATCAGTGTGTGGTTGCCTCTCTTGTGCCCCTCTACTGGGGACCTGGCCCACAACCTAGGCATGTGCCCTGACTGGGAATTGAACTGGTGATCCTTTGGTTTGAAGGGGGGCACTCAATCCACCATACCAACCATGGCACTCATATATCTCTAATAGTGTGATTTAAAAGAAAGTAGGGTAGAGTTTAATTTCACTGCTATTCTCAGAAGGAGAATTATAGGCAAGAACTGGATGAATATGTCAACATGCTGGTAAAAGATAAAGGTCTTACGAAAAGGGGATAGAAATGTTTACATTTCAGACTTTATTTATAATTTCTAGTTTGAGACTTAAAGACATCTGGGTGAAGGAAAGATGGACTGTGGAGATGATTCATATTCCAGCATGCTTTGGAACTTAAAAACATATCTAATAGAGCCACCCAAATCTACAAGGAACCCAAATCTGCTTAATGGTCCAGTGCCCTCTAAGCCAAGCTCAGCACGAGAGGAGGTGGCAGTGAGTTACCCCTACAGCTTGATGAATGCTCATTACTTCTCCCCACTCCCCTCAGTGGCAAGCACGGCTTGCAGCTCAGTTTTTGTAGCTCTGTGTCTGCCCTGGCAAGGATGATATACATTAGTTTTACGCAAAGTTATCTTCATGGAAGTTCTGAATTATGGCAGAGGTCATTAGGAAAGGGAAGAATGGCTGTATTCTTATCTCGATGATCTTCTTGAGCCCTTCTGTGGAGCTGATTGGTGTTTTGACAGCCCCTGCAAGGAGTCAGCTGGCAGCTTGGAGTGTTGTAACAGAGTGGCAAGAAGAATTACTCCAGGAAAACATTTTACCATGAACATAGTGGATACAGAATCTCATCCAAAAGCATCTTGTGTCTAAACTACTCTCAAGTTCTCCCTGACTGGAATGTAAACTTCCAAAGGCTGGATATTTATGTCTGTTTTGTTAACCTTTATGATCCAGCACCTGGACAGTATTTGCTGTATAGTAGTTACTCAACTTGTTGAATAAAAATAGATAAAGTTAATAAGTAGTGTGCTGGAGCGATATTGGAGAAAAAATTTACAATATGTAGGGTTGTTATTAAACAGTCTGAGTTCCAGGGAGTCTGCCCCATTGGCCAAGTTGGCAGTAGGGGGAGGTACTTACAATGAGCAC